ATCCTCAGAGCCTATGGTTTGTGGGCTAAATTCTTATCCTGCTCTTCCCTGAGGCCTGAAACTTTGGGATTCTGTGTTTCTGTTGGGTCACACTCTTCCCTCTGGCCTCCATATCTGGGAAATTGCCATGACTCTGATGAACATACCCTAGAGATTTGGACTTTTGATATCTGAGAAAAGGAGCATTTCAATGGGAGAACTCTGAAACTGACTCTCTAGTTCTACCTCCTATTTTGATCTTCCCCTTCTTGAAAGCTGCATGGGGAAATTTGGGGCCCTTTTATGCCTGTGTAAACCACCCTGATGCACAGTGGGTTGAACATTGGGCTGCTAACCAAAAGCTTAGTTTGAACCCACCAGTCACTCCATGAGACAAAGATGAGCCGTCTGCTTCCATAAAGATTTATGGCCCTGGAAACCCTATGAAGCAGTTCTACTCTCCTATAGGGTTGCTATGAGTTGGAATTGACAATATGGAAAATAGTTCAGTGGGTTTATGTCTATGTAATACTCACCTCCCCCTTCCCACCCCCGGCACACACACACAGCTGTGTAAAAGTTCAGCTGGTTTAGCCAGGTCTTAGGATAGAGCTTTTATCGAGTCTTCTCACCTGGCTTTGACCTTATTTAGAGCTTACTTAGTGTGAAAAGTATTTTTTCCCTCGGGAGATTGTCAGTTGATTAACTTCACATTTGCCTGATGTGATGGATAACAATTAGGACAATAGTTATTGTTGTTAAATGCCATTGAGTTGGTTCCAACTTATAGCGACCCTGTATAGGGTTTCCCAGGAGCAGTTGGTGAGTTTGAACCACTGACTTTGTGGTTCAACCGACCTTATGGTCAAGTGCTTGACTCCAAGACTCCAGGACGATAGTAGACAAATGAAAAGCTTAAAAGGAAAAATGGCAGAGTGACATTTTTGTTTTGGATTTTCCCTGATGATCTTTCTTTGAAGATGTATCTTCTCTTGCTCTGGAGGTTCCAGGCTGGTTTGCTTATTCTTATTAGTGGGACTGTCTCACATCAGAAGGTTCTGGATGGGGCTGAGGATTACCATTTAATTTTTGACAACTTCCAATGTTCCTAGATTCATATTTCATACATTTCAGGTTCTGATTATTAATGGATGGTTACAGATATTTAGTCTAATTTTAAGTTGAGACAGTGGAAAAGCTCCAAGTCATCAGCCAAAACAAGGCCAGGGACAGACTGTGGAATGGACTATCAATTGCTCTTATTCAAGTTTAGGATGAAGTTGAAAAAATTGAAAACAAGTCCACAAGAAACAAAATATTACCTTGGACATTGTTATTATTGTTAGGTGCCATTGAGTTGGTACCAATCATAGCGACCCTATGCACAATAGAACAAAGCACTGCCAGATCCTGGGCCAACCTCACAATCATTGCTATGCCTGAGCCCATCACTGCCACCACTTTGCCAATCCATCTCATTGAGGCTCTTCCTCTTTTTCTCTGACCCTCCACCTTACCAAACATGATATCCTTCTCCAGTGACTGGTCCCTCCTGATAATATGTCCAAAGTATGAGAGACATTGTTTGGCCATCCTGGCTGCCAAAGAGCACTCTGGCTTTACATCTTCTAACAGATTTGGTTATGCTTTTGGCAGTCAATGGTACTTTTAATATACTCCCCCAATACCATAACTCAAATGCATCAAATATTCTGTGGCCTTCCTTATTTG